TGGATGTGAAAAGTGAGGGTGAATTTGGTTTGAAAAGGGGTGAATTTGGTTTGAAAAAGGGTGAATTTGGTTTGAAAAAGGGTGAATTTGGTTTGAAAAAGGGTGAATTAAAAGTGAAAATTGTATATATTCCCCTAGGCTGCGATTCTATGCATTGTGATAGTTGACCAGAGGGGAGGACCAGCCTTCCCGCTCAGGTGGTTTTGAAGAGTTCTTGTTTCGTGTTTCGTGTTTCTCAACAACAGGACGCTTGATTAGTGACCAAGCTCTTTTCGGTTTTGGTAGCTACACCAAAAATATCTACCTGCACATTGTAGGGCGGCACGGTACTTCTGTACCGTAATTTACAAGTAAGACTTTTCCACGTTTTCCCGTTTCGCACTTCCAATAAAGCGAATCGCTGGTACCATTACCGCTTGACTGTCGATCCAGATAACCATTTCTCCCGTTTCCGATTTCCGCTCTTAGTTTCTATGTGATTGTGCTAATGCTGATGCTATTTCAGAGTCGATCGGCTCACCGGTGAGTGATCCGTCGCCATCGAAGAAATCTCGTGTTGAAGAAGCGCCGCAGAGCAGTAATTTGTCCCCAATTGAACTGCTCACTCTGTTGTTCGAAGAGCAAGAGAAAAGAGTACTTGAGCTCGTACTTGACGGTAAGTAAGCTTAGCTATTGCAAGAGAATAGCCTGAGTTCCCTTCACTGGACCCCATTCCCCTGCGCCCTTTGCTTAGATGTGCTACAGTACAGACTCACTTGAGAAGCTCTATTGAGCAGCAGCTGTGTGAGATAGAAGTTTTGGCGCAGATCGATTTGGTGGGGCATTTTTGCTCGGTTCTCATCGATCACTGCCCATGCCTACTCCACAGAGCTGTCAACTCCTGCAAAGCAATGCAGTAAAAGTAGCATCAATCACCCTTAACAAGAGTGTACAGATCGCATCATGGCAAGACGTGCCCGAGAGGAACTAATAGTAGAAGAAGCTAGCGGAAGAGAGACGCCCCCACAGACAGCGCGAAGTTTAGCTTGTGAGCAGGGGGACATCGTTGTTGGGAATTAAGCCCAACAGGCGGGGGGGCCCTCGTTTTGGGTCCGAGAGGGGGGGACCTCGTATTTGGTCGAGAAAATTTCGTTCTTTAATAGGCGGCTTTTTCTCGCTTATGGCCGTTTGTAAACAAGGAGGGGGGTCACGGTATGTGGCTCGCTGGTTGGGGAAGGGGAGGGGTGTGTATTACCTTCTGACTTTAAGGAAGGTGTTGACTCTTCGTGATTTTCGCTGTTGTCATAGCGTAGTGTATACCCGAATATACGCCCGCACCCTCCCTCACCGCTCGACGGCTTGATTCGATGAGGACAGAGGGCTGGGGGGGGAGGTCGTACCAACTCCCAAAGAAAGGAGGGTCGTATAGAGTCGACTGAAACATTCTAAAAACCAATGATGTGCCCTGTTGGTGAGATCCCATACTAGATTCGATGCACTCATCAGCTAAGCTGCCTGTGTCTCAACCCACATTCACATTCATATTTTATTTATTCGATTATTTGTATAGTCATCTACCTATGTACTGTATATTTACAATAGGTAACTCTTCTATCTCTGTATATCGGAACTAACAATCCTAAATTTGAGAATTTTGAGGATGCGGTGGAGATGTTCTGCAGACGATCCAGCATTTTGCAAGCGTACGAAAATTGAGAAAACACTCATTTATGAAGGTGATTCTTCCCATTTTGTCCCCTCATAAGGATCACTAGTAGAGGCTATGACGTCATTCCATATAGTATTTCGATTGATATTTACTTTGCACCTCGCTGTTTTAGAGTTGCGCAATGCAAAACGAGTCACCTTTCGCTCGACTCAGCATGACTGGGCCATGTTCGAGGGCGTCTTTCTCAATGGAATCTCTTTTACAGGTAGGAATTATAGAGAAAGCGTTTTACTCCAAGGTAGACATATTCATATAGCGTTGCTTCCTTAGTCCAGCAGCGAACAAATTTACAAATTTTTGACGCTTTTCTGGTACCTTGGTATAGGGTCTACAGTCTTGTTCGCTGCGGATGATGGGGCGTGTCAGTGAGGATAGGCTGGGCGCGCCGCCAGTCCGCTGTCCACTAGTTGTTGAAGCAGATAAGTTACAACAACTGGTGAAAACGAGTGAAAAGAGAGATTCAACAATTTTGTCGCTCGCGTCGCTCGCCGAAAGAAAAAAAATGAAACGGGCTGACGTTGCGTCAGACCAACCCCCTTGACATGCCCCATCATCCGCAGCAAAGAAGACTCTGTATACCTCAGGTTTTTAAGGTGCGATTGTAAATGGGGAGTACCAAACTAGCTTGGATTTCCGTATATGGGCTCTCCCAGAAGAAGGGAAACAGTTAATGGACCGGGTATGCGACAAGACAATCGTAGTGTGTGGGCGAAGCGAGCGACGTCGCACCAGACGTCGCGGTTGTTCCGCCTGGCTAGTTGAAGCTAGTAAAGGGACGGAAAAACCCTGTCTTCCCGTTCCTCGCCCAAAATTGAGCTTTCTCTTTACCTGAATACAAAGGACCTTCACGGCTGTAAGGTAAACTGATGCACGTCGATTGTTGAATTGGCCGCGCATCGCCGCGCGATGGGCCGCGTGCGACGAATGCGGCAAATTATGATTGTCTTGTCCGTCTACCGAAAAGACCAAAATGTTAAAGTTCATCTAAAGCCACTCAGCAGGCCAGTTTTCCACCAACTGTGGACGCCTGGCTGCTTCCACAGTTAGCAGAATTTGCCTCGCCAAACACAACCGTGCCCCCCCCTCTCCCCTGCAACAGAACCAAGACTCTATCTCTGTTTCGTCTTTTTGCCATGTGTGTTACTTAATTATTCTTCGAATATTTACGGCTATAGAGACGGCGCTCAAAAGACTTTTTTCAGAGACCAATGTTCCCTCCGTATCCATGGGCTCCATTTCTACCGTTGATGACGCCGGTCAGCCAGCAACGAAGCGATGCCTCACTATCGCCTGAGAATTCATCTCTCAGCAATGAATGAAGTTCCGGTTAGGTCCTGAGAAGTTCTTCCGATCTGGGTGAGAGAGCAGACGACGAGAGTACTGCTTACTGTAGCTCTGCATGTCTCACAGCAGTCAAGGCTCTTCGCGACATTAGTGGCGTTTCTCCTAGGTTGAGTCAAGGTCTTATATTTTGAGTATTATATTCGGAAACCCTTTATATAGACCCTTTTTACGCCTTGTTTTTGTGACTGCAAACATAAACCTTTCGTCTCCTTCATGTTCTTTCAGTCACTTTTCCCTTATTCTTCTTCGTTCACCCTTTTCCCTTTCGATTACATTCTGTTCGTTGGCTATTTCAGCTTTTGTAAGTCATTAATTTCATTAATCAGTCCACCCAGTCCTGACATTTAGGCTTTACTGTAGTAATTTTCTCGCTGTGATCTTTCTTATATGTCCATGCCTGTATTCACATGATTTTTCTACGTTTCATAAACAGTAAGAAAATAAAGTATTCGATTTTGGCGGATTCATCGAATATTAGTCATGCACTTGCCCCTACTAAACCGAACTACTCTTTATTGTTTCATTTTACGTATTTCTTTTATTAATTTATTTGGTATTTTGCTAGTGCTTTTAAGCTTTGTGGACGAGCAGAAAGTACTATCTCGGCCTTTTGGCTACGGATCCTCGTACGGACCAGCCTCCTACGTCCTACATGAGCAACTTCGATCACAGTCGAGTGCATGGCGTATTCTCGGGAGGTTCATCAGCGCTGTTCCATTATGCAACATAGCATCATTATGGACTGGTATCCACGACTCGCTATTTGATGTGCTTCATCTTACATTTGAAAGGAAATCACATGAAACAAGAGCCTTTCCTGGTCGTGGACGGGAAAGGCAATCCAAATATTAGACGAATAATCCGGCGCATTGCAACGCGTCCGTCAAGTGCAATTGCGCCACGATCACTCGCAATGGCAACTAATCCACGGGGTCAGCTTTTTACCGCATATATTCTGGTCCTCGTCGTGGATACGGTAGCGGGGATGTAACCAAAGGGGAAATTCTATTCATGTTCATTACTGCTTTACCGTAAAGGATTGTTGTGGCTGCTTGATATGTCATTATTCCGACTCCTCATGCGGCAAGTTATCAAAAATAGTAAAATTTCCGCCTAGTCAACTAGGCACACCCAAACACGAACCCCTTCTTACCCTTCGGCATGAAGTCACCCATATGCGGAGTTCTAAATCCTCTTCCCCCCCCCCCTCCTCGATGCGATACGAGTAGCACACGATTGTTGAGCTTGTTGGTGGTTATAAGAGAACAGGTAAAACAGGGCTCTTATGAACCGGACATGTCCTCCCTGCAAGCGTACAGAACTATTTTCCCATGACATCTACCGGCTCAGCAGTTGAAAGGAGAAGACAAAGGAGGACGAAATATAGTACGAAGGAAGGAAAAGAAGGAACGTGGAAGAAAAAGGAAAGAAAAGTCAGGTTCCGCGGTTGACAAGTACCCTGAGACGGGCAAACTTAGTCCCGAGTGGGCGCAGGGTAGCTGAATTCCCTTGCTGACTGATTTGACACAAAACGCACTGCTACTCGGAACCGCTGAGTTCTGGTGTGAATAACAGCCTTTCTACCAAATCTCTCGCCGCACTCACCGCGTCTCGGGACCAACGATATATTTCCGTTGCGAGGTCTCAAGGTACCAGTTTGGAAATTATCGTGATTTACTGAAGCCACCATCAAGACGTTATAACGATTTATTCAACTGACGACACGCCCTCGTCGTTTTCGTGAGAGCTCAGCAAAATCTGCTCTGAACGAGAGCTCTGAAAACCAACCACTAAGCAAACATTTATTTGAAATTTACATTAGATACATCAACTGAACTGGAAAACAAAATGTTGAATGAAAAGTACGCGGCGGAATGATTGACTATTGTAGCACCGTTGAGTACCTCAATATGCTCTATCAGCGGCCTTGAGCGGACAAGAATTCCACCAGCAGGCATTCGTTCTAGGATCATACATAGAAGTTCACAATCAGTTCAGGAACGACCAAGTAACAGGCGCTGACGGGAACATAGGCGATGTTGAAAAATAGTGCATTATAGCGGTAAATTAGAGGTTTTACAGCATATTTTCGAGAGTAAACATTTGAATAGAATTAATACAAAGTCATAGTTATGAGATCAAATCCAAGTGTTATAGGACGCAACAGAACAGCAGTTCATACTTTGGAAGACCTATTTTTGGAATAAAATCAGTAAATAGCGAATATTACACAAAAAGTGGTTTGAAACTTGGTAATCAATTACTGCGTCAATGCAATTAGCAACCAGGGCAGGTAGCTCTCTGGAAAGGGGCGCTAGACGGCGTCTTTCTCCTTCACTATTCAAGGCATAGGCTCAGAGTGTAGACGACTAGAGACGCCGACGGACACTCTCGCAGAGAGACATAGTCTCCATCAAGCCTTCTTCAAGGAGACACAGAGACGCGAAGTGAACTCCCCCACCCCGGCCACCGCCGAAGAACGTTCTCACCGTGTATAGGTGGCCTGAGAGGTGCGTGCACGTGGCGAATTATCCATCATTCAGAACTGTGTGACGATTGCGTACCGCTATTCCACAATATTCTCTTGAGCACGAGCTCTTCTAGGTGGTTAGAGGAGGACGGGGGTCTGAGTGGGCGAGATCTACGGTCTCATCGGCGTCCGCCAAATTTGCTGCAAACCCTCTCGTTAGGTGAACGCAGACCATTAGAAAAGGGTAAGGCTCCATTTCAATGTTGACTGCCTCTCCACCACCCCCCCCCTGACTACCTTAATAGTCCACTATTTTTAAACAATGTCCAAAAACGTTATCATCAGCAGTACTGAATGGGTATCTAGACGTCTACTGCTCCCAGAAATGCTGTCCACTTTCATTTTCGGCAGATTCGCAAGATGTCACAAGTTCGCGAGAGACAGTGGGGTTTCAGAGAGACGCTAGACGCTTAGAAAAAAATATCCAAACACATATTTTTGCACCACAGATATTTGTACGTGGATTTTAAATGCATCTCGGTCCTCAGAACAATAGGTAATTTGAAAAAAAATTCCAGCGATACGTAGAATACGCCTTCCGAAGAAGTTGTGAAGAAGGATTATCTTCAGTTGGCATCGCTGTCAACAATAACTGCATCTTTCTGGTAGAGATAGGAACCAGCCAAGATATCAGATGACGCAGCTTTCTTACAGAAAGCTCTCTGAAATAACAATAGATCATGCCAATTGTTGTTTGTCAGTGGGTGCGGTTACGTAGCGAATCGCGCGACGCGACAGCACGCGCCACGGGAGTGGGATTCTCTCCTACGCTCAAGGGGAAATGGATCTCGAATGAGTGAAGCAAGCATTAGGTAAGAGCCGTGATTCAAGGTACCCTCGGTGCTTTAAATCAGAACATTCCACCTTACAAGGACACAAACATTTTTGTGGCCTAAACAAACCGTTATGTTTCGACTGAGCTTCGATTCCGGCAGAAAGCAGTTGAGTTGGGTTGAACATTGGCATCCGTCCACACATTCTCCCCCTTCCAACAACCGATGAAGAACGCAAGTCGATTTGGTCTCGTTTTTGCTGACGATCAGGCGGTGACAGCAATGACCTGAAACATGAGGAATAAAGAGAGTTAGGAGGTTGACTAGTCCTTTTAGGGGATGCGGCGAGTATTCTACGTCCCTCTAGAG